AAACAGTGGGCTGTGGCACGGAATTTGAGCAGGAAAAATGAAGTGCATGGTGAACTTGAGTACCGAGTTCCCACAGAATCTGGTTTCGATTTCACGTCAACACGACGACGAGAAGCTGAGGGTGGAGGAACAATGGAGGTATCTGATCCTTCAGGTTCTTTGTTGAACTTTGGGGATTTGTCGGCCGATCAAGCGATTATGTGCCTAGCCTGGTTTTCAGATCGAATCCCCAAGATGCAGTCTGAAAACCTGTACACACACATATATACCCACGTCCCCGTTCCGCTCAGGCGAGGTGCTTCAAACAGCGCAGGGGCCCAGATCTTGGCACAGAGCGCTGCCGCGGCTAAAGTGCAGAACCTGCCAATGATTCAGCAGAACCAAGATCCCTTTTGTAGCTAGGCTAGTATGTTAAGGTTGATGTGGTGATGTACGTATCTCTTTGGGGTGGGATTTGGGGGTGAGACATTCAATGCTAGGCTATATCTCGAGCTTTCTTGAGCAAATGGGGAAGAAGCTTGACAAAATCGATGAACAGCAGGACCCTGAATTTTGTTCGACCGATATGCAATAATATATACTATATACGTGTGGCAGGATCGTTTGAATGGCTGCTCTTCTCCAAGAGCATCAGAGTGCCTTGCCGCAGATGGTGTTGCGCATATGTATATATTATAATAGATCATATATATATATATATCCGGAACAAAGCGACACTAGGATCTTGAAGCAACTTAAGATGGACCGCACTGCCTACAAGACTGCCTACGACAAGTTGCAGACTTTCCAAGAGAACCATTGCACGGTGGAGTGTCCGAGTGTCCCATGGCTTCCAACTCTATAAAGTCATGCAGTGTGCCACCCTGTTTATGTTTCAATTTAAGTGATCAAGCGTTCAAAAAAATGTTGTGACTCATGAGGAGGACTCCAAAGGCCAGCTTCGTGATATCTTCATCGCGTGCACCAAATCAGATGTGCGTGTCAACAACATGATGAGCCGCGCAAGGCCACCTAGCGGTGCACTAAACAACTCACAAGTGTGCTGTTCACATGTTTTTGATTTAGGTTCCTGGTCAGCTCTTTTCCTGCCCAGGACTCTCAAGATTGTGAAGGCCAAGGCCAAACCGAAAGCCAAATCTGCCCCATCTGCGCCTTCGCAGAAGCGCTCCGGCGCTGCTCAGGGTGAACCTGGGAGTCAGGCCAAGGTGCCCAAGAAAAAGGCCAAGGCCAAGCCATCCAAGTAGATCTAGAAGCGCTCATGACATATGTAGCGCAATTTTGACGTTTTCACGGCTTTGCAGTGCCGTGTGAGTCAGCAAACTGGGGATTCCACCTATGTGTGGTGAGCTAGAGACAAAAGTGGAACAAAAAGGGTCCAACCATACCCACTACCAGCTGAAATCTGTTTCAAGACCTTGTGACGCCCGGTGTGACTATATCGCTGGCCAGGTGATCATGTCCGCGGCCACTTCGCTTCAATGGTTGGAGGACTGCATGGGATAACATGATTCGATATCATTCAATCTCCGTTTCGCAGGAGACCCAGACTTGACCCAACAGTTGCAACAAGATGAAGAGCATGCAGCAGCGATTTTGGAGAACTATTTTTCTGGGGTTTCTTTGCTTCAGTGGGCTTTGTGTGAGAACTTGATATGAGCAATGTAAATTATACATCGATTCTGTTTTGAGGCTGAGTCTGCTGTGAAAGTTGGCCGCACTGCTGCAATTGCAATTAGTCGTGGATCAAAACGAACCTTTTCAGCAATCTATTGCAAGAGTTTGCAAAACCATTAAGCTCTCAAATCTCATGTGTCCAAAGTTTGGGCTCCAAGACTGGTTTGCGGCTGAGGAACGGGAGATTTGCTTTGCCGCATTGCATCCACCGAGAAGCACAAGTCGAACGCTGACAGAAACCTCCGGCGGTGCATCCACAAGGCAGGAGTCACCTTGCCTATAGAGGTTGTCACGGTTCCCACAACCATTCAGCTACGGAAACCCAGGGTGAGGACCATGGATATGTTTTGGCCCACCTTATCAATGACATCATGGTTGCAAGTGCTGGGCGAGTCCTACCCGGAGATCATGCTGGGTGGCTTCCGGTTAGACCAAGAAAAGGGCTGGCGAAGTCTGTTTACTTGGTTTTGGGATGTTTACAAAAGGTGTGATCCAACGCACCCAATCTACAGCCTTGAGGGTGTGGACTTTTCATCGGCGATACCGTACATGGTTCATGGAGATGAGGGCAGGGGACTGAGGTCCCTTGCCTTTATGGTCCAAAGCTGGCAATTGGTGATATCTCACCTGGGTCCACATACCACCAATACATCAGGGCACCTTTTCCGCAAACAGTCGTTTTGGGGGAGGGCCGGGCCTATTTTTCTTTATGGCAAGTCATCACTAATCCATGCATCGCAAGTCCGCCCAGGCATAGCTTTACTAGCAGGCTGCTGCATTCTTGTATCTCCAGCCGGCTCTTCTTTGGTGAAAAGACCCTCCGTGACATCAACGCCAGTTGGGCCCAAGAAATGCGGAAGCTGTTCTTTGATGGTGCAAAGGTGGCCGGGGGTTTAAGAGTCATGTACATGCACCACTTTCAAACCGTTGTCAGAACCATCCCTGATAAGGAAAACCTGCACGTACCCTGCAAGGTGAAAAACTTTCACTTTCGGCTAATCTACCTGGCCGGGAAAGGAGATTGGCCATATCTCCGAAAGGTGCATGGTTGATGTTTATGCAATTATGATGTGCATGCATGCATTGACCTGGCACACCTCGCAAGTGTTTGTCAAGAGTAGAGAGTGCTGCCTGCCGCTGCAGGCATTTTCACTACAGACAGGCTTCACAAGCACAAGAAAGTGCCACCTTTGTTCTGGCGAGGAGCTGCCGGGAAGCATTGGGGCTTTGATTGTTTGCAAGTGATGGGTTGTAATACATGTATATACTGAGTTACTGTGCACCCATGCGCGCCCTGAAGGCGTGGTACCGAATGGATTCCAATGCACCTTGGCGTGGTGATCCTGGAAGAAGCCCATTCAAGCGAGAAGGCAACGTGTTCTCCTCTGTACCCGGTGGAGGGAATGTATCGTCCATCCGACCGGACATAGTTCACACGTTCCATATTGGATTCGGATGCGACATGGCCGCGTCAATGATAGTCTGGATGGCTAGGATGGGAGTGTTCCCAACCGGTTCAAACAAAATGGATGACAAATTGTTGGAGGCCTTCTCGAGGTTTCAGGCGTTTTGCCACGACACGAACCGCTACAACGCCTGTGAGTCGTGGTCCACAAAGAAGTTTGGGATGAACTCGTCTCAAGGCTTTGCCCAAATAGTTTTCTATGTTGGCCAGTGGTTGGTCATAGCGCTGAAACTCCTGTATGGTTCCACCACCCTATACCGCGCTCTCCATATAGCTAAGGACACAGGCATTCCCGGTGTCTATTGCAGGGAAGGGGCACGACACAGCGGTCGTGTGCAGGTGGCTGCAGGCTTTACTTTTAGAGCTGGAGTCATGGTCAGTTTAATTTGTTATATACGGTCGTGAAACCATGCCATGCAACTAATAAGCCAGGTGGCTGTCTTTTGTGCTTCTCCAGCTGTTCTGTGCAGAAAGGTTGATGCCAGCAGGATAGCCTCAGATTTAAAGCACGTACTTCCAAACCTAGGACTGCAACAACCAGCCATTGGAATACATGCGCTACACGATCTGCCAAGCCAATTCTCTCTTTGACATCTTCTACGATCATGGAATCTTCCTACCACCAGAAGCCAGCTTTGCAGCCAGTGCGGCGGCAAACAACCTTTGTGTGCCTAGCCTAATATTGGTTCATGGTTCATGCACACTGCCTCTATCGCATGGCACTCTATGCAATCATGATTGTGTAAGGAAGGATACTGCTATCTAGCGACCCTTGCTCATCGAGATGGCCTGAAACTATTCCGTATTCGGCCAAAAGCACACATGATGGCCGAAATTTCGATTTCACTATCGTCATGGTGCATAAGCCCCATGGCAACAGCATGCTGGAATGATGAAGATTTCATAGGACGTGTGTCACGTGTGGCACGCTCGTGCCATGGAGCTACACTGAGCATTTCCTGTATGAGGAAGTGCTTAGGTTTGTATGCCGTGCAGTTCAACAAACTCAAACAATCAGCCAAGAAGCGTTGAAAAGGAGCAAGTGCTGCCAAGGCCAGCATAGTGTGTGCGCAGATGTGGGCGGTGTGTCGATGTGCTGGTGAGGTCGTCGGTTTTCTTATCAAAACGTTGGAAACTACTAAAACGTTGGGAAAGTGAAAATCACTTAAAATTTTCAGTTGTTGGGTGGTTCAGGTTAGACTTATGCATGGAGAGAAGCCGCGATGATTGATTCCACGGTGCTTTGCGTTGTTTTGGCGAACCAAGTTTTCATCTTGGTTCAGGAGTTATTCTTCAACGGGAGTTGGTATCAGTTGGATGACACTGTTCAATGAATTGGCTGATACTTGCCTTGGAACCACTGGGAGACTTGTTTCTGTTGAGATTCGTCCCACTCCACTGGAACTAACGTCAGACTTCATCACTTACCTCTTCAAAGGAGACTTGTCCCAACTACCACCATGTCTTGTGGCCATGGGATTACAATGACTGCGATCGATGTGGACATGTGACATGGGCTCCGGAGCCCATGTCACCTCCCGACCTTTCGATACTCGTCGTGTGGATTGGCCCCTCGGGTTCAGTCGAATCGTTTCGACCCTGCACTGTGCAGTTTTTCTCGCCCATCACGCCGAGATTGCAATCTCCCAGGCCCCGACCTGACCAAACACGATCAAAGAAATGACTTACGGAATTTACGGACTGAGCCACTAAGAGTCCTTTTTGACCACAAAGAGTCCCTTTTGACACCGCATGACCGCATGTTCTTTTCTTTCCCCACCAAACAGATGTCGCCATGATCGGACGAAGTGAATGTCCATCTCACACGTTTAGCGCTGTCACGATCGCGAGCGGTCGCGAGGACTACAACGTTCGCTTGCGGGCCGGGCAGCCTGGGCTGGACCAGCTCTTGATGAACAGTTTTCAATGGACAACTATTATAACATCCTTGAATGAGTGATTTTTCATAGTGCAATCGAGGCAATGAGTTCAAGAATTTGCGATCTGATGCCCAAAAGTGCACTTCGACCCACCAAAGCATAGGAATCCTTCGTTCATATCTTGGATTCCTTTCCATCTTCGGGGCCCAGGAGTGGCCGCGGGTCAAAACCCGGAGCTCTAAACCCTGATAGGTTGACCGTGATCTGCGTGTCCCTGGTGACCCAGGTGCAGGGCCCTGCAGATCCGCAGGCGCCAAAACAAAAAACCGCATCCGCATCGGCCGATGGAGGGCATGAAAAGAATCCTGGACACCTGCAGGAGATGGTATGATTTTTGAAGAACATGCTGTCAAAATCATGATCTATCCTTGGATCGCACGTCGATAAAAAACAGATAAAACCGAATCAAACATGGACTGGGACCACCCCTCTCAAATCCACCCCCTTAATGGTCCGACCTTGTCGTATCGCCCTGCTGTATCGTTTGGTATCCTTTGGACAAGACACCAAGTGTTGTGTGGCTCAACAGAACAATACTTTAGGTTGCTTATAGATATATATATATGGTCCATAAATGCCAAGTGCAACAGACCATCGCAGATACCTCGGCAGACCGGACGAGCCGTTTCAGGTGTTTTTGGTTCGAGCTGTTTCGGCGCTCGGCCTTGAGCGCGTGTTCGAGCCTTGGGGACCCGAGTCTCAGAAGGTCAAACGAGGACGAGCAAACCATGGCCTTTTGAAGATGTCCAAACACTCCTTGGACCCTCCGGAGGGCAGTAGGGTTCTGAAAGGGTGGTTGGATGTCGAAAGAACCCACACGGAACCGACTCACAACCAGCCAGGAGCTTGAAGTCCTGCGAGTTACTTGGCATCTCCAACTAAAGCAGGTCATTGACCTGCGCGACCAGCGCATTCTGGTGGACTGGTTTCACGAGACGCTCCAAACAGCCCGACAGGTCCCTCGAATCCATAGGGATTGGTTCGGGTCCGGACCCCTCCAGAGGATTCGGGTACGGCCCCGGTCCCTGAACGGAGGGTCCAACGGGTCGCGGTTGGGTAGAGACTCAGATTAGGTTTTACAGCCAATCAACTGAGCTGCTCAGCCTTGTTTCCATCAAATTGAGTGGTATACCACTGTGGAATCTAAGTCATTTGTGCCAACTTCATGCATCACGTTAACAGTTCATGCATCATTCTCAGTCTTGTTGCCTGTTGGATTGAGTTTGTGATTGGTTTTCTGTTTTACGGGCAGCCGGCAGCCATAGTGTTTTGTCTGCTTTTTTCTTGATATGTTTGATTAAGTTTGCATTTCACAGACAGACACACATCAGGTCTCACCTCACATGGTTTTGACTCCATGCAACTCACCCGCGAACAGTGATAACCATTGCCTTCTTTGTTCCTACCAATCCCTGTTTGGGTTTTGTTTTGGGGGAAGGCGCACTGCACACGTTGGAAACCACCGGTTTCTCGTGTCCACTCTCCTGGTTTCTCGCCTGGCCACTCTCGGCTTCGGGAGAGATCTGAGCAGCGGATTTGAGGAGAAGATCCTGACGGCCTTGAAGTTGAAGCCAGAAGATTTGGAGTTCGAGGTTCAGGCAGAAGACAAATTGGACCCTTCCAAGACGTTCGACGGACAAGCAGACAAGCAGACTCTCTGAGTGGATGTCTCGAACGATATTGTGTTCTTTTGCCCGAGTCTTTCTGTTGATTGTTGGGTGAGCGGCATTCCCACTCTGAAATTCCCTCAAACAAGTATGATCGTCGTTCGCTTCGCCCGATGGTGGGCGATGAATGAGATGGGAGGTCCACACACGTTGAAAACACACCATTTCCTCTAAAGGGATCCTGAAAATTGACTCTCCATAGGCCCTCAGGCTAAGCCAAGCATTTTCCTCTACCAGCCAGTGGTTTGGGGTGGGATCCATGTGAATTTGCAGGAGGGTCGAGCAATGGTCCAGCAATGGTCTTCATGTGATATACATCGATCATGGAATCATCAGAACTCTTCCAAGTGCATGTTTTTCACCTTAGAAATACGTACTTCCTACCCAGTCTAAGCCCTTCCAGTCAAGGTCACCCATCCAAAGTCTCCGAAGTGGTGTAGTGCTGTGGACATATGTAGACTCTTGATGAATAAAATCCCCCATTGCTAAAATATCTTTGTGAAAATGGGTTTAATTACTCATCTGAGAGTCTACCAGGGGCCCCACAAGCCATCAATAACCTCTTTTTTTCCCCAGAAAAAAAAAAATATGGTTTCGCATGTGGAAACCGAACACCATAGCATTTTTCATGGGCGCTATAGGGCTGCTGGTACATGATCGGTGGGGTTTCTCGTGACCGCGATAAACACGTCACAGGCGGTGCCGGATGGATCGGGCCGCCGCTTGGAGGAGCTCGAGGTACAACGGGAGGAGGGGGAAGGGGCGGGGGTTGTTGGAAGTGACCTGAGATGGACCAAGAAATCCAAGGTCAGTGAACAACTGATATCTTATATTTATATCTTTGATATGCCATATGATGTGACATGAAACCACTTCCGGGCGGTGGGCCTAGTCGTTTTATGGGGTTTGCTCATGTCAACATCAAAGAAATCATGCGAAGCCAAGTGTAGGTTCACATGAAGGATGGCCCAAGATCAGTTCCTTTTTACACGAAACACTACATGAAAGTGTGTGAGTAGTGCCGCCACATTTGATGAGCTTTTGTTTGTTGTGCGTTATCTATGGGGGCATTCTTTGGCAGAGCGAGTGGGCAGAAATTTGGTCACCAGTCACGAACTCGAAGACAGATATCAAGTGTTTGCAATGACATATCAATGACTACAATGCCACCACCTGTAGTGATAGTTGCAGTGTGACACCTAGATCGATACATGATTCACTTCGGCATCGACGGCAAAAACGAAGACATGGCATGAGCTTTCCAGCTAGGCCCGCTATACATATATATAGGTATTCCTGAAAAAGACACCATGAGGCCGGTGAAAGAAACCACTCCACACCACCGGGCCATGTCGCCGAGCCAATGCATCTTGCATTAATTGCATTATTCTTGCATTGAGCCCCTAGTAGCTTCTTGTTCCTAGTAGTAAGGGCAGGAGCCCCTAGTAGCTTCTTGTTCCTAGTAGCGATGCCAGGAGCCCCTAGTAGCGTTCTTGCTCCTAGTAGTAAGGGCAGGAGCCCCTGGTAGCTTTTGTGTCTAGATATGTCTACATTGTGTTTGAGGATTTTCTGATCGCGTGACGTGTCTTTTGATGTCTTTCTGTTGCCTGCGGCTGTTTTAAGCAAGCGGCTGTCTTTCGTGGCCTGGCTTAAAGGCCGGTCTCGATCTGCGGATTGGTGAAATGAGACCGGTCTAACTGAATCATTGGGATACACGGCAACACCGCTGATCTGTGCGGTCAAAAAGGCTCCTGAAAGGGCTCGGTGACTGGGACGATGACTCCACGGGCTCGGCTCCGGTTTACCATCGGATCTCGGGATCTAAAAACGAACACACGTATCCAATCATATCCATAGCACATTCTGGTTGGAATTTGGCAACAGGATGCACACAAAGGATGCACAGGTGATTTCATTTTTTCTTGGCGGTTCCGCAAAAACAGACTTCCGCGAAAGAGGGAGTTCTGTTGAAAGAAGGAGTTGTGCTGGTTGCTGCAGGATCACTGCTGCATGCTGCTGATCACTCAAGGGATCACAAGATCAATTGTTTCCGAGAGGCTTCACTTGCCCCTTCTCTTTGGTCTCCCAGTTCGCCGGTACTTTCCAGACCAAAAGTCCGACTCGCTGCCCCTCAAGGAAGCAGTAGTTGAGTACTGGATGGTGGTTTCAGATATTTAGATGTGTTTAATATCATTACTTGAGATGATTGAACCAGATGTTCACCCATTTGTTCACCCACGAACAAGACTCTTTTTCGTTCGCGACCCTTCATGTCTCACCACGCCCAAAAACTGCGCGTGCCACGCCGCAGCCGCAGCCAGGTGACCCTCCACTTCCAGCACTTGTCGACGCAGCAGGAGCCACCCGGAGCGGACGACGCGCAAGAAACGACGCGTGACGCGCGGACGACACGGAGAGTTCGTTGGTGCGGAAAGGATATGGAGTGAACGATGTGACATCTGAAGCAAAAGGAAATCAGTTAAATCAGATCTGTGGTGAACAGGATGAAACCGCTAAGTACATGTGACACATTTGTTGGGAGGAGTCCATTTTCCGGTGAAGACAGTGGCAGACCGAAGACGTCTGTGGAAAACCGGTTTCAGGGCCCTTCGAGCTGCCGAAGCAAACGAAACAAAGCAAACCAGCAAAACAAAGCCAACTATACTACTAAGCTACCAAGCCAACTAACCAAACCAACAAAACCAACCAAGATAATTAGTTTTATGGTTTTCATGTGCTTGACACCCCCCCAAACCGAAGTTTGGGAGGTCACTCGAAGATGGGACTCTGACAGACCCCAGTTTCTGGCGTGCATTATTTACATATTATCATAATATTGTGTAACCGACAATGAGTTTACCATAGTTCACCTGTACTATATTACTATATATAGTTTGTTGTTCCATCATTGTTTCGTTTTACAGGTGTTTATGTTGTTGTTTCATCCCTGTGCATTCTGGTTGTGGTCCCAATCAGCATTTTGTTTAGGTGTTGCATGGTCCAATGCAGCGGTCGCCAGGAGCACCAGATCCAAGACTTTCTCAAGCAGAATCAGGAGAATACTTTTTGTTTATGTTCAATGCTGTCAAGATCAAAGTGGCTGGAGTTTGAATTCTTCGGTACTTGAAGAGCACAAAGGCAGGGAAGAGCAACGAAAACATGTATACAACACTCGCAAACATGACGTGAACATGGAAGATAGCAAAGTGGAAGACTATGCACCTTCTTCAAGGCCAATTATGTAGTTTGATGTCATGGACAGTTGGATGAGGGCGTCTATTCCTGGTCGAATGCAATCACTGGCCAAAGCATGCCAAACCTATATACATATATATCGTGTGCATACTATATCTATATAGTCATACTAATTCTTTTGACTGCAACAGGTGGGGCACTGGGTGACATGTCCCACAAGCGTCAAAGACTACCATCCCCCAACAAACAACATCAAACAACTATGCTGCACCTTCACCTAGACCGGGAGTTTCTGCCTGCCAAAGCATCAAAGCAAGGACCTTCTGGTGGATTTCTCGCCGGTGACGTGAATGGCTGTCGCCTGCAGAGGAGCTCTTGCAAGCCTTCGGCGCCAAAGACGTGATCACAACGGTCCCGCCCTCCCGCGCGACGGAACCCATGCCCGAACCCATGCCCGAACCCACGCCACAGGCGCGCGCCGGAACCTGTGGAGGTGGGTGGAGGTGGCGCGGAGGTGGGATGGTTCCCAAGAACGATTTTTTGATTGTTGGGTGCAGGTGCACACAGCTGTTGATTTTCTTGATGCTGTTGTTTCTTCAAAGCGTTCAGGAATCTGTTTGATATTGCTTAATTACTGTAATGTCGGTTTCCCTGAAACATCTTAAACATCACTTGGATGTGCGAAGACCCGTCAATTCCATCAACTTTGCGTCACCAAGCACCAGACCTTTAACTTGCTGTGTTTTGTTTGGGTTCTCCATGTAGCCCTTGGCCTCCAGGCCAAGACCTCCTCCCTAACAGTGGCCAGGCATGGGACGGCGTGAAGTGGGTGCAGGGAACGTGGTGGTGTCGTGGGGGGGAAGATCCGCTGCAGCCAGGACGACTCGAAAACAAGAAAACATCAAAAAAACATGACTTTCGAAGGACGACGTGATGGAACTTTACCGCAGATCCATGGATGCTTGATGATTTATTCCATGTATTTTTTCCATGGTTCCAGGTCCTTTTGTAGCTGCAAGATGGACTAAAATTCTGGATTCAGTGGATCACACAAAGATTGATTGACGAGTCATAAAGCTTGTGAGAACTTCTGGCTTTGACTTTGGTCTCGTGGCTGGTGAGAAATCTGGCGAAAACGGCACTTGCTGGATGGTCTAATGCGTTTAGTATGCCACAAGCAGTCAACTGCTTTTTTGGATGCATTTGCTTCCGTTTACGGCGTTTACGGCAAGCTGAAGCCGAACTCTGACCAATGCTGGTGATCATGAATTCTATTAGGTTGGAGGCCATCGCTCTTAGGTTATGCAACTAGATCGGTTAATTCTGTCATTTAAACATGCCCCATGCCCATCGGTCAACCTTAGAGAGGAGAGGAGCCAGGAGCGGACGCTCGTCCGCTGGTTCTAACATAGTTCACCGATGTTTTTGGGGGTCGAAACCCGAATGGTGGTCAGACCACTTTTCGGCCAGGATCCAAGACTATATAGTTCCATTACCGGATCAATCAACGCCTTTGCTGGATCAATAGGGCGTGGCTACTTGTAGACTCTTGAGGACCATACACCCCCCCTATGAAGAGGATGTTCAATTCAAATGGCTGGGGTTATGGTCCTCAAGAGTCTACAATCATTCCGATGATATATTCCGATCATGAACCCTGTGTCAACATTCACTGGAGTCCTGTGTGATGGAACAACCCAATTGCTTGGCTCGTCCTCTTCAGGACGACTACACCGCCGACCCGGCCGACGACTCGACGGCCGACGACGGCCATTTGGGCGGAGAATCGGAAGTGCATGGAGTCACGTCATGACCATGGAGTGCATGGGTGGTTTGTCAAGAAGGGGAGGACAAAAGCAGTGAGATCCCGAGTTTTTGCAAGCTTGGAGACTCTTGGAGACTCCTTGGGCCATGCCAACTTGAACAAACATCACCAACGGGTCCAGTTTTTTTTCTGGTGGGTTCAGACTGGACAGAGGTGCTTGGAGGCTGGTTTGTCCACCATCCCAAAACTTCTTTGGGGTCCCGGTAAGTCCCGGTCTTTTTGTCACCAAAGATTCTGTCTGACTCAACTGAATGGAGCATTTACCAAACCATCCATCAGTCTGGTTCTCGGGCTGGCCGCGCTGGCCCTGGCCTCATGTTTCCCTTTAGAAACCACCATTCCGGGATTTCCTGGTCGGTTTTGAACAGAGGCCAGTCCTATGGACCTGTGTGTTTCTTGTTGGTGACCTCCATTTAGATTGGTGGAAGATGTGCACTCATCCTGATGTGGCAAATCGGAGGGAGTCAATCGTGTTTTCGTGGGTGCCCGATGAGTCAATCGCCTGGCATGAGGAAGTTGATTGTTTTGTTTGATTTTTAGGTCCGGTTCTTTTAGCACCTCCAACTTGGGTCTGTCCTATTATAGCTGTAACAGTCGGCAAACAATGATCAATTAGCACTATGTTAGAGATATGCCCTTAACCATCATCCACTGGGCCCTGGGAATAGAATATATACTCCAAATACAAGTCATGTGTATCCATTCTTGCTGCTGTATCGGGTGATTCTTTCGGTTTTGGTGCTTCGCTACCTTCGCTCGACGCGAATGGCGTGTTCCTTTTTTGTTTTTTCCACGGCAACCCACCTTCCGGGTTATCAGACATATTGGATTTGGAAGACAAATTGGGGTGCAGAGATGTTGTGCTGACTGCTTCATCATACTTCATCCATGTCAGCGTGTTGATGCAATACAAATTGTTTCGTGAGTCATCTTGTTTGTTTAGGCAGAAAAGGGTCGAGTCTGGTTTTGTACCGCATACCTACAACCGGCCGGGGCTGGTGCAGAGCCGAGCCGAGCTGTCGCGGTTTTTGGGCCAAGTTGTAGCGGACGCATCATCCCCTCAGGTAGAGCATCCAGCGACCACACGTGCACCAACCACACCGAGGCGGGACGCTATGAGAGAGACCGTGCTTCGGACAAGCAACGATACCGAACCGGGTGACCCGGGCGACCTGACATGGCGTGAAACTGGGAGTTGTAGGAGAATTCCTTGAACAAAAACACTAGGAAATTCCTCACATGTGGTGGAAGCCTTACAAAGTTCCTGTGCCATGCGCCAAGAAACATGAATTCATGGACATGGAAGAAGGGGGATGTCTAAGAAGACTGTGGCACCCTTTTGGAGGTTCGTTGGGTGATGGTGTATTCTTTTTTGGATGTTTGTTCCAAAAGGGCGACGCATGGCTATGGCTATGGCTGGTTGTTGACATGAAGTTCATGGTCCAAACATGTCCTGAGCAGTCCCAAATGAGGTCAACATGTCGTTGTTTCGGGGGGAACAAGTCAACACTAATAACTCAAAAACGACAAGCATGGAACACCTACCCTCCAAGCAAGGTTCCAGGGAAGATAAAGTTCTCGGGTGCAAGTTCTACAATAGCAGGTTTTCCAACATTATTTGACTCACATTGGTTTGACCATGTTTGACCTACGTTCACTTCCATAGCTGGTGTACAACAAATTCTTCCAACACTCCCAAGAACAAGTGAATAATCAAATGCTCGCTTCAAGTTATTTGTACTGCTCCTCCGTAGGTAGCCAGAGCCAAGCCAGATTTCTCCAATCTGCAAATGGCATCAACTGCGGGGTCCAGTCCACCAACACTTGCCTCACTTGCCATGCAAAATAGAAACGCCAGGTCACCAAGCGCCAGCACATTGACCACCGTTGGGCACCCCACTGCAATTGCTTTTGTGCAAGTTGGTGTGGTTCCAGTGTCAGTGCCAGACCTACAGCATGAGATGCAGAGTTTGTTTGACCCTCCAAACTGCCCTTCTGTTTAAAGACATGCTCGGACTGAGACCATTCATGCATGCTTGGGGTCATTCGAACCATGTCCTCACTGCCTATTTCATAGTCATAGCAGAACCTCCACCTCCAATGCTCCATGAAGAACTTCTCCAGATCCGCCTGGGGGTGATGGCTGGTGAAAGAAGTTCCGGGTCGCGGACGTGAATGGTCGGCGAACTTGAGAAAGCCGTGAATCTTTTTCATCCGCCGGAAGGTGGAAGGGTGCCAAAAGAATGAATGGCCTTTGGTGGTCATGATTTATTTCAACCCACTTGGCTGACATTGAATTACTTCTGAAGCGTTTTTTATTACTTCTAGAATTCAATTCTGTTGCAAGGTGTCTTTCTGAATGCTTTTTTGCACGGCTTGCTTTTTGGGGTATACTTTTGGTTACTAGGATGTTTGGACTAGGGAGAGTTACCACTGTCTCATTGAGACCATTGTATGGAACAGGCGGAGAACACATATAACTTTGGAATAAATTGTTTTACTTCTTGTTCAACGGAATTTGTTTGCACAACTTGCTGTTTTGCATTTCTTGGGAGATTAGGAAGATAGACAGCACACAGGCCAGGAAACACTAAGTGGAGCATCCAGGTAGAATCAACTCTGGAGTCAATTATTGACAGGACACCTGCATTGAAAAAATCAAATCCAAAGTGATTTTTTTCATGAACCAAGACACATGAGAATAATGAACTCTGCAGTCAATTTGAAACTACCATGCCAGCAAACCCAAACTGAAAATTACATTCATATTCAACATATTAATCCCTTAAAACTCTAAACATGTTTCCTTTTCCGGTTGGGCGCGTGATTCTTCGCGACCGAGACCTTTCCCGTTTTACACCTTCAGAAGCGTGGCATGGCCAAAGATCGTTGCGTGGCGGCATTCGCGTAGCCAGACGCGGCGCTGGGGAAGCTGCTGGGCCAATTCTTATCGTCCGATTTCTGCGCAAACACGGAGTTCTCATCCAGAAGTTTGCTAGCTGGAGAGTGTTTTTGTTCAGGAAGGATTGTTTTTGACGCCCTCAAACATCCGAGCACAAGACGAGGCATCCTGCAGAGTGATCCCAGATTCTGTGGATCGTGTCACCTGCCCTGTGTTTGAAACCCGGCAGATTCTCCACAAGACGCCTTCAGTCAGACCATCGGTACAGACGGTTGAGCTGGATTTTGTAGTGTAAAACTCTTATGACGCAAAGCAATGAATGGTTGTTCGGGTTGCTACCGATTCTGCTAGATGGACGTTCGGTCGATGGCACGTTCGGCCTAAGCTTGGAGGATGAGACATTCTCGGCCTTTTCTCATGATTCTGTGGACACAGGTCCTTTTTGTTTGACAGTTTTTCAGAAGAGGCAAAAGCTACCCACTGGAGATCGCGTACAGTTGAATCCGCATCGAACCCTCAATTTCATTACAGTATATTGGAGTCCATTTGACCTTTGCTTTGATAGGAAAAAACACGGTTTAGGGGTGCTTGGTGATGCAAAATAGACGCCACTCAGGCTCTATAGGTAGTTACTGTCAGTATACCAACATCTCAGGTTTCTTGTAACATGTAACAACGTTTTCTGGTGTTCGCTGGTACTCAAAGTGTTTACCTAAACCAAATGCTGAAGTCTCCATCTCTCAAACACCTGCACTTTCAGAGTGTTTTCATGCTTGCAATGTTCACGGCGCTGCCATCCCCACCCGCTTTTTAATATGGAAGTCGAAGAACTGCCTTTAAAACATCTGTCTTATAGTGGAGTTTTACATATTAAAGAACTGTTTCTTAGTACATGTTTCCTTTAAAACTCCACATATGTCTTTTTCTTTTGTTTTCGGTGGGAGTTTTCGGTCCCAGAGGAGCAGTGGAGCGTTTGAAACATTCGCTCAAACCAAGCGGATTTCGCTCAAAGCGAAAGACATCCGAGGCCAAGCCCAAGTTTTCGTGGTCTTTGGATTTCGGCAGGCCGGAGGGGGTGGGAGAGGACCGGATTTGCTTGCAGCGGATCCTCTTCGTGTGTAGCTGGCAAGAATTTGGGAGATGCGCCCTTAGCTCCAGCCAGTTACAGATGATTTGATTAGGATTGACGTAGGATTGGCTCAATTAGAAATGCTTAAGTGTACCTGAATACTTCCTACATCACTATGTCAGTCAAGAACTCTATTGGTTGCTCCTTTTTGAGTTTACATTTTGAACCACCACCTATTCTTGTCGTGTGGCCATCGGATAGCTTTCTCCTTGTCATTGCAACTGTTGGCAGAAGGTTGTCACTGACATTTAGGATATTTTAGGCATTAACCATCATCCACAGCAACAGTGGGTTGACCCAAAGAGTGACACTGGGCCCTTGGGCCCTTGGGCGAAGGACCGACTTCTGAATCCCCCAAGTCTGGGACTGACAGGTCTGCCGTGCGCCGTGCTTTGGACAGGCACAGAATGATTGTTTGGATCTTTAATCCATCAGTACAGTAACGTCGTAGCTTGAAACACCATCTTATGACTTCTTGCATGCTATCAGAGCTACTTCCAAAGAGGCTATGAAGGAATCGGGATCCAGATGCAATCCACCTCAACCGAGTAGCTCGAAATCACGCTCCCTGAAACAATCATGGACGTGGAGTTCACCACCTGTTTGGCATGCAGACAATGGTCATCCAAGGGGCCATGTCATCCTCTTCCATGATGATTTTCAGGGAGTGTAGGTCATATCCTTTGCTTTTGTGTTGGTTTTTAGCCCCTCGGGTGGTTCGAACGTTTTCGTTGGACAGCAGTCCTAAGCGCTCACTCTCCAGAACCAATTGACGGTCGTCCTCTAACTGCTGAGTGATCCAAGCAAACAGACCCTAGATAGACCCCCAAATAGATTCCCCTGCACGAAACTTCATCAATAGTTGATGGATGATCATGAACAGTTGATGGATGATGTAATTATGTCTCTTTTTTGGTGGTGCCGACGCTGACTTGAAACCAGAACAAATTTAAATAATAGATGGGACCGGTAGTTCACCACAAACCACCATCAATTCGGGATGTGTTCTTCCAATTATTCACCGATTTGAGAGTGTAAGGATGTATGCATCAGATCCTTTGGTTGTGTACGTACAGAGAATTCATTTGATTTCTGAGGGTCGCACAGCCAGGGATTGGCTGTTCATCTGGTATCATTGGCAATGCCATAGTGACAAGTACTCCTGTTGTTTTGAAGCGCAAGGCTGTGGGCGAAACGACTGAGGTGTCGTTTGAGGCCATGCACCTGACGTCTTGGTGCGGCAACCAGAATAGCTGTAAGATGACCTGCTTGAGCTTTGTCTCTCCAAGGGACATCACAACCAGCTACAATCTGACTCCCATTCAGCCGCTGACTGTGAAGACCATCGTTGACTCGCTAGGCTCCTACTTTAGTAGCGAGCTGGCTCAGGGGAATGCTCGAGGTGCACCAGTGCCACGTCCGTTCCAGGCAAACCTAGCATCGAGTTTGCTTGCCAGCTTGAACGTAGAAAGTGTCAGAGGTGTCTGCCACACAGGCTTGTGGACACTTGTATGGCATAATTATGCCTTGTTGTCCATTGCTGGTTCCAGTGTTGGCACATCTCTAGTTTGGAACTCAGGTGGAGCATCGTTTTTGTGGAGCGGCACGATCGGGTCGGCAGCTAAGTCGTACGCTGCCAATGAGAACTGGATTCAGGATGGCTTGATCGTCTACTTTGAGCTCACAGCGACTGAGTTGATAGACCTTGCTCCGGCTTTGCGAGCACTGTTTTCGAACATGCCGATCGTGACGCCTAGTTATGCTAGCACAGCAGGGGGTTCAGTGCAGCACGAAGACGGGCTCTCATCCATTCCAAACTTTCAGTATGAGGATATCACCACTCCGCCAGTCCAAAATGAAGAGTACGTGCCATATGCATCCATGTGGCGTTGTAGCACCAACGTTCGGTTGCTAGGCCTTAGCACAAGAGAGGAAATGATGCCACCCGGCTCGCTGCCTCTTGGTGAAGCCGCATTGGCTGCATCTGGTGCGCCAGTCGGTGGAGTTGCTCCAGGAGGCCAGTTTCCAGCGACACTGCTGGCTACAGTTGGTTTCTTAGATGCTGATCATCTCAACCGTGCTATGGCAGCGATTGCGGTCGCCCTGCCAGATGGTTCTGGATGCACATCAGGTTTGTTGAGTGCCATTTCGAGGTGCTGCTCTCCGATGTGGATGGGTTTGGACGATTCTGATGAACTGTACAACGACTCATTGTCACAGGCAGCCGTCACGGCCACAGGACAGCAGGGTGAGATTTTCTTGCCACAATCGTCCAGAATCACTTCCACTTTGCAGCGAGCATGGAAAGTCAGTGCTCGTCGTGAAGAAGTGTCCCAGGTAGTGGCCATTGGCACAGACTTGTTTTTGCCCCGCGACGTGAGTAGCCTCGTTGCGAATATTGGGTTTTACGCAAAAATGCTGTCGGTATCGGTATTTCATTCACTCAGGGTGATGGCGATTCACCCTTCAGCCCTGAACTTGGCAGGGCCTTGGAGTGGTCAAGGAGTCAATCCGAGAGCTGCAATTCGCCAGTTTCTTCAGGTTGAGCCAGGATTCATCACAGAGTTCGCTTATCTAGTCCAAAACACCCATCAACGGCTCTTTGGGATGGATATCCCGCACGGCTTCCTTTCTACCTTGTCGTATCACGGAAGTTCAAATCCCAACAGACCTTTGCGCCCGTTGGAAGGGGGGGCGTTGCCTTGGGACTATCTTGAGGAAGCGGTTCATCTCACACCGGTTTCGCCGTGGGAAATCCTCGCCCTTTTGTTACAGGATGCAGCGAGCCGGGATTCCAAAGAGATGAATCAAAAGGGCTGGTGTTAGCTGTGAATTCATTGCAGCTTTTGCGCAGCAGTCAGGTGGCGGCATGTGGATCGAAAGCTTCTGCCGTAACCACAGGCGGAGTTCAGGCTCGCGGTCGCCAATTCCAAGGCGGCGGTGTTTCACACTTGTTCAAGTCAGCTCTTCCATTGCCCGATCCCACTGTGGTAGGGGCACCACAGCTTTTCGTGCATGAGGAAGAGATCAAGCAGGCTAGCGACGCTGCTTCGGAAGCTAGCATTAGCTACCTGGGGCCGGGCACTCCAGTGAGTCTGCCGTCATTTCTGGCGCAGGAGATCCAGTAAATATCAGAGCATCTGTCACGGGAGATGATTTCCGTGCAACTATGCGCGTTGACTGCCTTGCTCTGGGCAGGCTGGTGCCACCAGCGGACTTTACTTTTTCTGTTGCGCATCAGTCCGCCACTTTTCAGCAACTTGTCCGTTCGCGCATGTTCGCGCGGAGCCGCAGATCCAGCTTTCCATTTTGGCTATCTGCGTGACCCTGATGTCACGGCGGCCCCGCTGACTTTTACTGAGTATCAAGCTCCTGCCATTTTGCGCATTGGCAAGAAGCGCGGTGGTGAAATTCCGCATGATGTGGAAGGACATGCTGAGGCCGCGAAGCGTCGGGCTCAGGAGTTGCGTGTATTGGCATCGAAAGTGATCCCACCTGGAGATGAAGGTCCAAAAGTTGTTGAGCCTGCCAGTGCAGCTCGTGGAGCTGATGCCCTTGCAACAGGGCCATTGGGTCGGGTGCCGCCGGTGCCGCCTCCACCTGGTACTCGGCAAGATGAATCATTGGACGGTGAGAATGTTGAGAGCAAGGCCAATGTGGGCCAAGGCGGTGCTGGTGAGGCTGGCGTTGGCCAGGTGTAAGCAGTTGAGTGGTTTGGACAGCTCCTGATGATCTATGATAGGTAGTGTGGGACGCACATTTGAAAGCTTGCGATTGCGAAATCAAAACAAGTTTTGCCTGTTTGTTTCAATTTGTTGCTGTCTTGTTAGGCAGTTGTTGTGTTTGCAAAGCTGAATGTTTATTGAGTTTGCATGAATGTATTTGGCTCCAGATGAAATCGGTTTTTCTTTTTCAGAACATCAAATGCTTGCCAGGGTCATACTCCTTGCCAAAGTTCCAACCCCTGAATCGTTCTCGGATAGCCGCCCCATCACAATTTTGGGCCACATTCCGCGTCTATCATCTAAAATGATTGCTGACCAATGTTTGCAAGCGTGGGGTCAATCCTGGAATCCGCAGATCGCTGGCGGATTACCATTCCGCTCCGTTAAGGATATTACCATTCAGCAACAGTTTCTACTTGAAAAGGTGCATAAATCAAATACTCCACAAGGTGGTTTCACACTGGATTTAGTCAAAGCATTTAACTTGATACCCCGCCAGATAGCAAAAAAAAACTGCTCATCCATATGGGGGTTCCAAGCTTCGTGGTTGATTTTTGGATTAAATCCTTAAACAATATGCAGCGAATCCTGCAAATTCGAGGTAAATGTGGAACGCGCCTTCCTTCCACCACGGGGGTACCCGAAGGAGATGCCCTCTCTGTCTGCGCTATGCTGGCAATTGCAGCGTGCGTTTTCCATCGCATGTCCTTTTGTAACGTCACTCCGTTCACATACGCGGATAATTGGACCTTTATGTCATCATCGCAAAAGTCGTTTGTTCGTGCCTTCACCCATATGCTCAACTTCACGATTGCTTTACGCATGAAAGTTGATCTGAAGAAATCGTGGGGATGGGGAACCCATCAAGAAATGAGGGTGTTTTGGCAAAATATCGATGCCTTGTTTCCAGCACAGGATATTCATATTCCTGTTAAAATTGCATCAAAGGACCTGGGATGTATGGTGCAATATACAAAAAAATCTCTTAGGTTGCTTTACAGAACGTATCAAAGCCGCGGGCCGCCGGCTCAGTCGTTTAAGCAAAACACACATCCCAATTCAGGATAAGGCCACAAAGATTCAAGTAGCAATATGGCCCCTTGCGTTCTATGGAGCTGAAAGCCAACTTTTGGGAGATGCACATTTCAAACTGTTGCGGCGACAAGCAGCAGATGCTTTGATTGGGCATCATAAATTTGCTTCACCATATCTTGTAATGCATGTTCTTTCTGAGCATGTGGAGGACCCGCTTTTGTACATCATTGCCACAGGATTGTGTAGTCTGCGACGGTTGTTCTACTATCACCCGACTATGGCACACGAAATGTGGCAGGAAATCCTTGCACCTTCCACATCATATGGCCCGTGTGCAGCTATGGCAGGTTATTTAGCAAAGGTAGGCTGGAAACCTCAGGGTTTTTCAGACGTAGTCATGCCTTGTGGTAACCAAATCTCTCTTCAGAACCAATCAATACGCGAAATTCGCAAAATTCTTCGCCAAGCATGGTCCTGTTACGCCCATACTCAAACTGCACATTGAAAAGGCATTACAGCCATGCCCTGTGATGTGTTCGTCCAACATAAGATCCATCGTAGCCTTTCAGACCAAACTTTACGTCTTATACTGCTCGACTTGGTTGGTGGCTATCAAACCGGAACCGTGAAGGCCATTTGGGATTCTACACAATCAGACAAGTGTGAATTTTGTGGGGCAGTTGATAATCATATGCATAGGCAGTTGCAATGCCCGGACTTTGCACATTTGCGAGCTAATCATTCTCAGGCTGTTGAATATTTGCAGTCAAACATCCGTTTAGCAGATCATAATGGATTCTACACAGATGGTACTTGTGATCTCCCTAGAGAGCCAAACTGCTGCCGGGCAGCCTGGTGAGTAGTTCAGAAAGTGGCTCATAATCCAATGGACCCGTCACTGGACCACTTCATTGTTTCGCAGACGTCTCATACCAAAGGACAACAAACAATAAATCGCAGCGAACTAGAAGCAGTATGTTGGCTCATTGAATATTTCCATCATAATTTCCCTACAGCAAATGTGTCAGTTTATGCAGACTCGAGTTTCGTGCAGAAAATCCTGGAGACACTATCCAGCGAAAATTTCAGTCCACATGTATCCCGACTGGCACACTTTGACCTGTTTTGGCGATTAAAGACTGCCTGGAATCCGGTCTTTCATCAGGTATTTAAGGTCAAGTCTCATCGTCCACTTGAGGAAGCCACAGATGTAGATGATTTGTACACCATTTTAGGTAATTTTGCTGCAGATGAAGCTGCCAAAATCATTAATGCTCAGGAAATGCCTTTGCTTCAATAGGCCTGCCGGGATATTCGTAACCATAGCAGGCAACAAACCCATATTTTGTCACTGATTTACGCATACCTTGCAGATTTAAAGAGTTTGCATAAGAAACTGAAAATTGAAAGAGAAAAAACGAGCTGCCGAGACACATGCGCATAATGCTTTGGAGGAGGTGGTCAAATATCAAGAGGTCTTGATGCAATGGAAGATTCAAGAGAATATCTGGAAATTCGATAGTCCACTAGAAACAATCATTGCACAAGCCTGCCCGGCTGTGGCACATACCGCCATTCGGGTTTGGAGTTTTTTGCAGAAGCTTCATTGGCACCACCCGGAACATAATCGTGTACCTAACGACTGGGGCATTTCGTGGTATGAACTTGTCATAGCATTCCAATTAGACACAGGCTTTGCCTTGCCGGTTTGGATCTATCACAAAGATGAGAAACTTCCAAAACCATATCCTTTTTTGTCAGAGGAGTCACAAATCCAAAAACCAGACAGTCGTAGCCTCTGGCATCAGGCCAACACACTCCGCGCAGTTGTCCGGTACTTGGAAAATACACTGCAACAGTCTTTGTTCCCAAAATTGTTTCCAAAATATAAGAAAACCGGAGCTTCTTCACTAGTTAGAATGGGATTCCACAAAAGCCTTGTGGGAGGGATTTCGTCTCGTCCTGTGCTCCCAGACCCTGCTGCAGTCATTGAAATTGTCAAAAATTATTCGTCACTACCAAATCAATCATATCCGCATCATGTGCGCTTGGAACTTCCGCCAATTTCGCACCCCCGACCTTTTGTTCCAGAGTGTGCTGAGATACCATTTCAAAATCGTAATGGCTTGTGCCAACGCATCAAAAAATGCTTGAGGAAAAAACATTCCATAGCAGACATTGTCATCAACGACTGAGCGTTCGTGGCTAATTCATAATTCGAAATAGCTGAGGTCGTGTTTTCACACATTCTCTGTGTATAGCTGTGTGTGAAAACCACTTCACATCGCGCGTGTTCATACCTGTTTACCCTCTACGTGGAAGGGCTTTGAGGGGCGGACCGTCGGACAGTTCGCAAGTGAGTTTGAGAGTGTAAGGATGTTTTTGAATTGAAGAACCACCCAGATCGAGCACCCCCAAACTATGACAAGCAAAACGTCTGATAGTTTCCTCCAGGGTTTAGAAGTGGGTTGAAACATCTTGGCAACAGGTTGTAACCCACACCTCTCCTATGCTGTCCATTGTTGAGGTGCCCGGCAGCTACAACTATGTGCTCGATGACTCCTTTGATCTCTCTGCGCGCGAGGCGTGTTGCGCATGGCATGGGGATGTGCGGAGAGATCGGGTGACGGTTTCCACCTGGTCCGGCACCGTTGAACCAATCCGACCTGGTATGGCCTCGCAGGGTCCGGTCTAGCGGTGTGTGTGGGGTGTAGTTGTTGTGCGGTGCAAATTGATTGGCGTTCGCCCTGGAAGAATCACTTTCAAGTGGCGTTCGCCACCCGATTCTTTTTTACAAATTGCCATTAGTTGTCCCCACTTCCACCCATGGATTCTTCCAGGATGCCCAAATGTTCCTCAGATGGAAGAGTGTTCGACACTTGCAACGAGTGAAAACACTTGTTTTCCCAAGGATTGGACCGCTAAGAGTCGGAACGTGAGTGGGTTTGTTTGTTGACTGGGCACCCAGAAAAACACATAAGATGCTGAAAAGGACACCATGCAGTGGATGTGTTTTTTTTGTGGCACGGCTGCAGAAAGATGGGACACGTGTACAAAACATTAGCAAACTCCGGGCTTTGCTCAGCTTTGCTCTCAGATCCCGTGTGTTTTTTGTTGCGTTCTTTTTCGGGCTCCTGGGCCTGAGGGGTCAGGCATGGCGCCGCCGCGGCCTTTGGCGGTCGTACTCCCTGGGCCGCTCCGAAGGCGCAACTGGCCGTGGTGGAGTTCTGCAAGCTCTTGAGGCTCGAGAAGGCCTTGAAGGCGTGGTTGGGACCATTTGGTGTACCAGTCTGAGTCTGGGTCCTTCGTTTCCGAACGCCACTGGCCCATGTTTTGGCCGAGTCCAGTCCCGACCCCAGGTTTTTTTGGGTCATGGCATCAGGACGTCCAACGTGATGCCATGACCCACCTGTCTTTGGCGCTTCGGAAAACCGGGACCGGAAACCATGAGAGACAGACACGGTTTGTTGGGAGGGATGCCATCGTTGGGATTCTTTTATTGTGACATCTACCGATGGGGCGTTTTGACTTCCGGCATTGTTTCTCACCGTCGGGCCCAATTCTCATTAGGGGCCGAATTCTTTATCAGGTTTTACGCGTTGACTGTTCCGCAGGTGAGGGAAAATACCATGAACATACCGTCGTCCCAAGCTCTAGAGTTATGTCATGGTTCCAGGTTGCAATATAGGTTGATGTGGCATGATGGACTGTGGGTGGGGGAAGATTCTAATACAAACCAAATTCATCCAAATTCCGGAAGTCTTTTCTGAGTCTGCACAATTACTGTAAAGCCTCATCCAATCATTGCTCCAGCTTGTGGCCCTGAAATGCCCAAACAACTATAAAAGACGGTCTCCAGTGCTCGCGGCAGGTAGTGCCTGGAGTGGGAAACTGCTGGCCTGAGAAGATGAAGATGTACATGAACATGCAGCTTGGATCAGCTTGGAGATGGGCCAGAATCTCATTCCAGTCTCCAGTCTCGAATTCGTCGTTCTTGATGGAGCGTGGAGGGCCACGCTCCAGACCGTGTCTTGCCAGGAAGTGATTCACCACTTCAGCACACCCTTTCAACCCGCCCCTCTCATACTTGTATGCCTTTGGAAAGGGTGGTTCTCGGGATTTTTACGGGCCATCTGCGCACGGGAACATGGGCTTCGTCTGCACACAGGATCTCGCATGTTTTCCGTTGTTGGTGCCTAGCCGGTGCCCTGATTTGAGGGCCACCAAGCAGCTCGGCAGGTTCCCATCAATTTCCCATGGTATCAAACATGGTGCTTCATTTGCTCATTTGGACGATCTATATACCCTAGAATTCCAACCACCATGGATTCAATAGCCTGAATCCCGAACAACCCTTGTTTCACTAAGGATGTTACCCTAAGGATCCACATACCCTCTGAGAAGGTGATTGGACCCTGCAAGCCTACATCAAAGAGTCTCCAATCATCTCCAATCACCTTCTCAAAAGGTATGTGGATCTAGGGTTACACAAAACCAGGATCGATCGTTCCCATGTTTCGAACCATGATCGATCGTTGATGGCCCGAATGGGTGGCGGGGTCGGCAGCTTTCGGGGTCGACATCCACACTCGGACGAACACAGAAGACGACGCCACTGGCGTCCGCTCGCCCCTGTTTCGTCCGAGGAAAGTCATCAAACACAGGTTCTTTTTTTGGCGATTCGAGAACGAAACCATGTGATGTGTGGCGATTCGAGTGTACCTCTTGTTTCCTGCAAGTTGCTACTACATGGCCCAGTGCTCATGTTTGAGTGCTTTTTTGGGCCCAACGGGGCCCAAGGAAAAGGAATCCAGTTTTGGATGAACCACCGCGGGCAATTAGAAGGAATATGCTGTTTACACATGTTGACACGTGTTTTGTTGAGTGAAACATTCAGCCATATTCAGCCTTTCTGCAGCCACGCGCACGTTGTAATATGGTATACATGTTTACTAAAAGTGCATGTTTGTATGCATCATAGTGACAGACTAAGGTCACAGTGAGACCACAAAGGAAACTATAAGGAGCAGAACAAAGGAGGCTCAGGTGGTGTCATCTTCCTGGGATATTTGATGGGCCGGGCGTGCCCAAGCTAAGGCCATCAATGAACCACTTGCATCGATCTGCTCGGTGCACCTCATGGGCTTGGACCCGTTGGCCTCCACCAGTCCTGGCTGTTCTTCCAGGACTGGGTGTGTGTGCCAGTCCTGGCTGTCCTTCCAGGACTTCTTCCTTCCAGGACTGGGTGTGTGTGCCAGTCCTGGCTGTTCTTCCAGGACTGGGTGTGTGTGCCAGTCGTGGCGGCTATCCTTCCAGGAGTGGGTGTGTGTGCCAGTCCTGGCTGTCCTTCCAGGACTGGGTCTGTGTGCCAGTCCTGGCTGTTCTTCCAGGACTGGGTGTGTGTGCCAGTCGTGGCGGCTGTCCTTCCAGGAGTGGGTGTGCGTGCCAGTCCTGGCTGTTCTTCCAGGACTGGGTGTGTGTGCCAGTCCTGGCTGTCCTTCCAGGACTTCTTCCTTCCAGGACTGGGTGTGTGTGCCAGTCCTGGCTGTCCTTCCAGGACTGGGTGTGCGTGCCAGTCTTGGCTGTTCTTCCAGGACTGGGTGTGTGTGCCAGTCCTGTTCTTCCAGGACTGGGTGTGTGTGCCAGTCCTGGCTTTCTTCCAGGACTGGGTGTGTGTGCCAGTCCTGGCTGTCCTTCCAGGACTGGGTGTGCGTGCCAGTCCTGGCTGTTCTTCCAGGACTGGGTGTGTGTGCCAGTCCTGGCTTTCTGGGTGTGTGCCAGTCCTGGCTTTCTTCCAGGGCTGATCGTGTGCCGGTCTCCGTGCTGCCTGAACGAGAAGGCCTAAACCCACACAACAACGATTCAATCTCAGATTCGTTGGGGGCTTTACGGGAACCCTGGTTCATCCCCTCCAGGCGCCATTTGCCATGGCCCACCTACAATTTCTTCCCGGCACTGCAGCGCTTCGTGCGTGAGGCCATGGCTTCGTTCGTGGTGGTCTTGGGGAATTGAAGAGTCTTTCATCCGAAGTTTTGAGAAGTGCATCATTTGAAAAAATTGTGTGTGTATTTCAATCCGGAGACCCCCGGGCTCGATGAGTAGATCGGGGCGAGCTGTGTCCAAACCTTGCGCGGGGCGAGCTCAAAGGTGTTTCTATTTGACACCCATTTGTCACTTGCATGTTGGATTTGGGATCTTAGGTGATCTTCGATTTTTTGAGAGATTACCACTCATTTTGCTTGGCTGGCCAAGTCCAAAAGAGAGTGAGAGTGGGTTAAAACATGTTATATAACACCACTGACTCCCCCCGAACCTTGTCATTGAGCATGCCATCATGCCTCAGTGTCAACTACTCTAGTCATGCTCATTAGGAGTGCCGGTTTTGACACCCACATGCCACATGACCCTCTTCTTTTTCTTGCCCACGAAAGTCCATCGATTGATTTTTTTTGCAAAATATATGTCACCACAATGAGGCCCGCACACTGAGAATGGTGAACACCATGAGGCCCGCACACTAAAGGGGTGTTGACCAATGTCTGACCCGGGGATTTTCCACACCGGGTGGAACGAAGCTTCAACGGTGTTGTTTTTCTCCGGTTCGAACCTCCGGTTCGTCGGCACGACGCAAGTCGATTCGTCGTGCCAGTCCGAGAAGTGGGTGGGTGAGCATGTGGGCATGGACGCTGGGCTGGAACATTCCATGGAGGCTACGCGCAAGGGTGTGACTGATGCGTCAGGGACAACTCTTGTGGTGGGCACTCCCTCCACGCATTATTGGACGCTTTCTGGGAACCCCCAAAAAGGGACCAGCCAGTGGGTCTCCGACGCCATGAAGAAGGGGGGGGCGATATTTACGCCGCGTGGTAAGCACTTTGGATGTTGTTAGTATTGTCATGTGAGTCGAACAGGACATTAAACATGTTATGTTATATATAATATTACATAAGGTTATCCTTTGCCCGGAGTTCCAGTCCATGATAAACATTCATCCAGGGGCCCTACTGTATGCTTTCGACTGGAAATTATCTCAGTTGACATGAGTTGCCGGCAGCCAAGTGATGCATCAGCGCGTGCAACCACCGAAGCACCACCAGAAGTACATGCGATTGTTTTGCAGGTGGAAACCAACCGCCCTCTTGCTTACGTTCAGTAAATATGCTTCTACAGGTTCTACGAGGCCATGTCCTTGCTTCCCCGGAGTCTTCCTTCCCCACTTTTCAGTGTGGAAACTTCCTCAGGATCAAGGTGCAGTGCAATGGCGCCTCGGCTGGTGGGGTTTGGGCTGGATTGGCCAGAGAAACAAAACCGATGAAAGCAGAGCACCCGAGAGCTTCCGCTTCGGGACCATGTCAGCAGTGACACAGGCACGTTCAGAGGGTACATGGGACGCAGAGACTGCCGAATTGGTCGTAGAATATACAAACCTTGACCGTGACCTGCTTAAACAAAAAATGAAAAGCACACTCTTGACGCTGACGCATCATATGATATGTGTATGATTTGTTTTTGTTGTTGTTCCGTATACGAGGACGATTTCGCTCGCTCGCTCTCGAACCTGCCAAAATGAAAGGCAGCGAACGCGCCAGCGCTAGCCACGTCGCTTACCTTGCCTTCTTCGCTATCCTGCGCGCCGGACTCCATCGACGGCTCGGACTCCAGGTGTCAAATGGACTTCAACGTGGAAGTCGACATTTGGAGTTCTGGACGACAAGTGCAGTCGCTGGGCACTGACAAGCCAGGTACTTCGTCGGTCAGACCGTTTCAGAGGGACCACCTGTTTGGGACCGGTACATGTCGACAGGTGGTGGTTTCAAAGGTCAGGGGAAAAGCACCATACATGGAGCGTTTCGGAGATTTAGACTATATACAAACTCCTGGTCATTCGTAGGAAGCATCATGATCATTGATATGTTGCTTATCTCATGGCATATCAAATGAGGACGGTTGATCCGTGCTCATTGCAGAAATAACACATGATTGCAGGTTCGGCCCCATGCAGTGGTTGCTGTGGTGGGCTGCGTCGCTCACGTGTGGGGTTGTTTTTCTGCTTTGTTTTTTACCTTTCAGGAGCAGTTGTTGAAGAGTGGAGGCTTTCAAGGAAACTTCAAGACATCGAGGTGCAGGAGGCAATTTTAGGCTGTGCCTTTAGCAGAAAACGTCCTAAAAAGACCTCTTTCTTTCCAACACCTCTCGCATTTATACCTTGATGATCCTTGATCCAACACCCGTCGCGAACGGGTGCCCAACTGGGATCTACCATGATCCAACGAGACCATGTCTTCATTTTCAACGTCTTGCCAAAGTTCCTGAAGGGCTGGTTTCCTCACACCGGTTGCTCGTTAGCTTGGTTGGCTTTCAAGTTCAAGAGAGCTGAGAGTTCACCTGCTTCAGTCAGGCCCTATATGGATCTGTGGGCGTGGCACTCAGAAGCCCGGAGCCGGATCGACATTGGATCCAGAGCGAGAAAACGCATCAACCGACTCGACCTTTTGTTTGGAACATCATATAACATGATGCAAGGGCTCGGCGGGGCTGATACCAAAATCCTGAGAGCAATTTTGATGCCTTTCTTGAGCTTACTTTCTCACCTCTTGAGTATGAGAGCCAGAACTACATGGCTGCGCTTTCTTTCGTGTGATGTGTGAATGGCTGGAGTTTATATGAAGAATATCCGGCTCAGGGGTGTTGTCGAGGCCTTGACCTTTGGGGCAGGTCACACCTTAAAACCTAACAGAGATACCAAAGATATATGATGTTTAAACTGTACATCAACAGGCTGTGTTCTTTTGACAATCGAATCGGAGTTTGTTCAAGAACATAATTATCAAAGATAAGTGGTGGCATGCAACTTCAACGACTTCAAGGACTCGGATCATGTCCACCTTGGATGATGCACTATAGCCGTCACATGATGGCAATCTTTCGTTTCTTGTTTCTCAAAACTGACGGGTGCGACTCCGTGGTCAAGTGGGGCAAGTTCCCGCTCCCCAATAGTAATTACAATTCTAATTATATTCTTATTGTTACTACTAGTAAGGCACTTGTTTCGAATAGCAAACCTTGTTACTACTAGTAAGGCACCTGTTACTAGTAGCGATGCACTTGTTCCTAGTAGCTTCTTGTTACTACTAGTAAGGCCCTTGTTACTAGTAGCTTCTTGTTACTACTAGTAAGGCACTTGTTACTAGTAGCTTCTTGTTATACTAGTAAGGCACCTGTTACTAGTAGCGATGCACTTGTTCCTACTAGCTTCTTGTTGCTACTAGTAAAGGACTAGTAGCTTCTTGTTACTACTAGTAAGGCACTTGTTACTAGTAGCTTCTTGTTACTACTAGTAAGGCACTTGTTACTAGTAGCTTCTTGTTACTACTAGTAAGGCACTTGTTACTAGTAGCTTCTTGTTATTACTAGTAAGGCACTTGTTACTAGTAGCTTCTTGTTATTACTAGTAAGCCACCTGTTACCAGTAGCGATGCACTTGTTACTAGTAGCTTCTTGTTACTACTAGTAAGGCACCTGTTACTAGTAGCGATGCACTTGTTCCTACTAGCTTCTTGTTACTACTAGTAAGGCACTTGTTACTAGTAGCTTCTTGTTACTACTAGTAAGGCACTTGTTACTAGTAGCTTCTTGTTATTACTAGTAAGGCACTTGTTACTAGTAGCTTCTTGTTATTACTAGTAAGCCACCTGTTACTAGTAGCGATGCACTTGTTACTAGTAGCTTCTTGTTACTACTAGTAAGGCACTTGTTCCTAGTAACTTCTTGTTTCTACTAGTAAGGCACTTGTTACTAGTAGCGTCTTGTTACTACTAGCAAGGCACTTGTTACTAGTAGTTTCTTGTTATTACTAGTAAGGCACTTGATACTAGTAGCGTCTTGTTATTACTAGTAAGGCACCTGTTACTAGTAGCGATGCAATTGTACTAGTAGCTTCTGGTTACTACTAGTAAGGCACTTGTTACTAGTAGCTTCTTGTTATTACTAGTAAGGCACTTGTTACTAGTAGCTTCTTGTTATTACTAGTAAGGCACCTGTTACTAGTAAGGCACTTGTTACTAGTAGCTTCTTGTTATTACTAGTAAGGCACCTGTTACTAGTAGCTTCTTGTTATTACTAGTAAGGCACCTGTTACTAGTAGCGATGCACTTGTTACTAGTAGCTTCTTGTTAGTACTAGTAAGGCACCTGTTACTAGTAGCGATGCACTTGTTACTAGTAGCTTCTTGTTACTACTAGTAAGGCACTTGTTACTAGTAGCTTCTTGTTACTACTAGTAAAG